GATGAGACAGTGGATGTTTCATCCAAAAATTGAAATATCTGTCGCGAACATCGTATTATATTTTCAATTGATCTCTATGGCTATGTAGGTAATGTTTACTATACTTCATTATGTAAAGTGACATGTTGATGTACATGTTCACTTACAACGGTAATGCTGTGTACAAGCGGTAGTGAGGTGAGGTGAAATTGGGTTTAACGTCGCGTCCAAGATTATTGCACTTATAGAGCGACGTGCATGTACGTGTGTGTGTGTGGCTGCTTGTACTAGTCCGGACTGATGCCGATTTATAGTGCTAGCTCACTGAGATACCATGCCGCAGTTTAACATGAATACCCCACTCAGACACAGTATACTGACTCCGAGCCGACCAGTCCTTGTTTTAGCTCCTTAATGCCGAGCGCCAGACAGGGTAACAACAAGTACAATCTTTTAACGTCTTTTTGTATGACGCGGCCCGGGATCGAACCCTGGACCTTCCGCTCTCCGGGCGGACGCTCTACCACAAGACCACGGAGGCGGTCTACAACCGGTAGTGATATCGCTTGATGTGCCGAAAGAGCCCCAGCACAACTGCCCCGAAAACGGACATTTAGTGCCAGGTTTCAAATGTATAAATAAGAGGTATCTACAGTGGGACTACATCAAATTTCAAAACACAGTAGGTTTATCTCCATTCAACCATGACGCCAACAACGCTTTGAAAATGGTGCTCTCTTGCAACGCGTAACAACACAGGGTACCAAAGTCCCAAATCTTAGAACATTCCGAAAAGTGGTAACAGGTGGTTATATACATAACAAATATTACTAAATTTCAAGATTAAAAACACCCTAGGAATGATCAGTTCAAAATAAGTGTTCAAAACACATATTCTTTTTCCAAAAGAAGTTGACTAAAACCCTCCAAACTTAGTCCAAAGACAGATGTTTTAATTTCTACCATCCTGTTCTGCACTGCTTGGACTGACCAAGTCATTTCTTGGAAATATGCGAGAGATGTCATTTTGGGGAAATCGAACATTTCCATTGTAGGGTGACTTGTGGAAATATTTTTTTCTAAAATACTAAACGAATATATTTCTACAACAAACTTTATGAATTAACATTCTACTATGTATTTAACATGTGTAAGTCTTATTAGTTAGTTAGCAATTGCCCCCAGTAAATAATAAATTAATCCAAATAAATGGCTCTCCACCCTGAACTTGGATGTGGCAGAACTTGACCCCAATCACAGTTACTCACACCTCACATCTGTGAATGGCTGACAATCTTGTGTTTACATTCTCTGTAATTAGTTGAACGAAGCAAGATGAAAACCCTGCTCTATGATGTGGTTCAACATTAACTTGTAGATTTACTGGGAATGATCGAGTCTACTGGTACAATATGATTACCAATGGAACTGAGTATGACTGAACATCCGTTTTTTTAGGCTGCAGACGAGCCGGATATTTTGACACCAGGAATCTGCATGGTTTGACCAATAAATTTCACGGATTCAAAGCCAGATTGTAAATAGCATGTGCAATAGACATTTGTGGCCCAGAAATAGTGGTTTGTGTATGATTTTCTTAATTGTGTGTGTTCTAATATGAATTTCATCAAGTTTGATAAGCTGTGGCGTTAGTGATGTCAGAACATTGTTTTCGTGGCCTTTCGAAGGGAGAAGTGTTTTCTGATTGATTTTCAAAAACCCTCCTTCCAAATCCTTACGGTGGTGGTTGACAGAGATGGCAATGAATATCAAACACAAAAAGGTTTGTTATGTTTTCATAAATAAAGTTTCTTCAAACACATTTTGATAATGTTATATTTCACTTTCATTGTCGGTTGTTTCAGTGACGATCGAAATTACCTATTCCCAGGCTGTTCACTTCGAACATGTCCCTGACAGTTTCATAAACATTTCAGTTATATGCAAAAGATATGCCTTCATAGAGTCTTGTAATTTCATCACCGAAGTATTCAGGATTACGATCTAGAACAACATTTCGACGCCAAAAACATCCGATATCAAACTACCGTATTTCCTCTATTCGAGCTAGGTCGTGTATTAATTTCATGAGAGCCATTGACTTGGCATGTATTAGACTCCTGGCTTGTATCAGAGACCAAGCGTGTAATAGAGGAAATATCAATATGTTTTACAGTTCCTAGAGGTGATCAATCGGCAGCCATTTTTTATGAATCGTGTGAAAAGGCTTAGTGTATTTAAAAGAGGTTTCCGTAGCAAAAAGGAAACCTCTTTTTAACCAATCAGAATCAAGCATTCTTCAATGTCATGGTAGAATAAATAAACAAGCATGATACATGATTTTCTATCCAATCCATTACAGTATTTCTTACTTCGATTATTTTCACAATTATATTTATTGTGTAAAAAAAGATTTGAAAATACAATTAGTGACAGTCACCAAACTGGAAAAGAAGAATCAGAGATACAAACTTTTCCTCATATACACATTCATTTTCAGGAATTACATCAATAAATAAATAGTAAGTTGTACTGACATGGGTCATAACTTCCATAATATACCAGTGCACACAGCCTTTTACTCTTCAGCTGTGTGATACAGACGGACACTGTGTACTGAGGCCAGTTAGTTGTACTGACATGGGTCATACGTTTCATAATATACCAGTACACACAGCCTTTCACTCTTCAGCTGTGTGATACAGACGCACACTGTGTGTACAGAGGCCAGTTAGTTGTACTGACATGGGTCATAACTTCCATAATATACCAGTGCACACAGCCTTTCACTCTTCAGCTGTGTGATACAGACGCACACTGTGTGTACAGAGGCCAGTTAGTTGTACTGACATGGGTCATACGTTTCATAATATACCAGTACACACAACCTTTCACTCTTCAGCTGTGTGATACAGACGGACACTGTGTGTACTGAGGCCAGTTAGTTGTACTGACATGGGTCATACGTTTCATAATATACCAGTAAACACAACCTTTCACTCTTCAGCTGTGTGATACAGACGCACACTGTGTGTACAGAGGCCAGCTTGGCCAACACCAGGTCCAGACTTATCCTTCTCATCCATCAATGGTCATCTTTCTCTTTCTCTCAACACAATGTAAAAAGATTACCGTATTCAACATAATAAGCGCACAGGGCGCTCTCAAAATTAGAAATAGGGGGCCCTTATTACAATATTATTTTGTTGAAAAACAACAGGCTTAAAAGATCGTAAATTTCGTGGTTTATGCTGACAGCCTGAAATGTTTATATACGACAGATATATTTTTCCAGAATCTAATTTCCCACAATTAAGGATGCATATAACACACGTACTATACACGAATAAATAAGTCTTGTGTACATTGATCAATCGGAAGGGGTGCTAATTGGGATTGTTCACTAGCCAATATATTAGCAAATATCTCCGGGGGCGCTTATTAGAGCGGGGCGCTTATTACGTCGAATACGGTATTACATATTAATATTTTCATGAACATGTTCATAAATTTAATACAATTTTTATATTAACTTTATGAGTAATTGCAATTTCTTATATCAAAATTATTCATTTATAAGGACTTAATAGCCATTAAGAGTCGATTTAACATAACATGTAAATGAACACTATTATATTGTTAAATTTATCGTGGACTACCAAAAAACATAAGATAGTGAAGAACATCATGTCTTTTCAGAAATTGACACATCTCATTAAACATACGAAAAGGGAATAACATATAATCAGCCGCGAAACATGAACAACACAGCCCCAAAAGGGTGTGTCAAAGTTTATCATGTGCGTTTTGGTTTCGTTTGAGAGCCATGCTTTCGACGTTTTTTCTCTCATGAAAACTACTACTAAGCGACCTTCAACTTCGATCGCCATTTTATGTAAAGTTTCGGTGGAGAAGTTGTGATACCTCTTCTGTGTTTTTGTGGAATTTATGGTTTAAGAAGCATTAATGGAACTTCTACGTGTACGTATCAACATGAGAAGTGGCAATGTTTCACCCAGACTGTATTTTACATATGTCAGTAGGTATATTACTGTCTGAATGTTTTTTAATACGCTTTGGAACTTGATGTGAAAAACGATGCCTTGCACAAATACAGTGAAGAAAACAAATACACTCCATTCACCATCGATAAGCTGGGCATTTAGTTGGTTTCATACCCAGGTAGCATGCCATTATCGGCCCTGCATCGGCCCTGCATCGGCCTACCGTCGGCTACATCATCGGGCCGATGAAGTTTTGCTCATCGGATGGACATCGGCCGAACGTCGGCAAATTCATCGGCCTGACATTGGCACCACACTGGCCCAGCATCGGCCCGGCCATTTGCTGTATATATGCTGTATACTATAAGGGTAACGCTCTTTTTCAGGGCATTATCATTTGCAGAAGCCCGATGTTTTCCATTAAATGCACGACGAAGGAGGGCAGTTGAAAAGACCGAGGGCTTCTGCAAATGATAATGCCCTGAAAAAGAGCGTTACCGTTATTATAGCTAAAATGGATGGAATTTGTTATCAAATAAAAAGAAACAACAACATCGGTTTTGAAACATTTACTGCAATCAACACGAATGTCACTGACCACATTTTACAAATATGGAAACGTCATAGAACAAACTAGATGACGTCACTATAATACGTGACTTCATTTTCTCTACCCTATGACGTCACCTAACAACGGGCTTGATAATGGCCCGTCGTCAAGCAATATGAGGGCATTATCAAGTTACAGTGGCCCGCTCATTTCTGATAACGTGCGGGCGTTTTAACGATAATTCTATCCATTTTAGCTATAAATGCTTATAACGAGCCACGGCTGTAACGAACTAAAAATAGTGGTTCGTTACAACCATAGTTTACTGTTTTTTTATGTACCCTAATACATGCGTAGTCAAATATTAACATTTGCACCAACTTATATGAAGCACGTTTTTCCGTTAGTTTGTTCACCGTAACAGGATGAGGATGGCGGGGTATATTTATGTATTCGTCTGCTTGCAGCATCTGTATCTGCCGCTGCTCCAGCACCACAAAGAACACAAAGAAATCGACCCGAATGCGCCTTTCGCCCTAAATGTCCAAAAGGAGGTAGGATTTTAACTCCATCAATGCAATAAAAACATGACTAAACATGACTGCCATCCACTTCGAGGACTTCTTATTTGCTAACATAAGTCCTTTCCATAGACATAAGAAATCTTCACTCAGACCATTGTACGATTCCCGACTGTGTTTTAGAAGCATAAATATAACTGATACCAGGTTATTTTTCACAAGTGGTTATTTTTTGCGTTCATTCTTCACAAATGGTCCAGAGCTTTTGCGGATAGAGATTCATAAACACATGCTCTTGATATGATGAGAATCGTACAATGGACACTCATTTATCAGAGATATTATGACAATGATCATGGCCATGTCGCTGCTATTTGTTGTAAACCGTAAGGTGAAATAATCTTTTTCCAATTTTACTTAAACAGACTATGTTTTCCGAACAAATCCCAGGTCGACCCGAGAATGGTCTCTGAACGGAGTGTAGGTCTGTTCAAATGATTTTCATCTTGTTTTAAGGCCCGGGCGGCGTATCCTGCCAGTGCAGCTTTTCTAGCAGATGTGTGGATGTCCCCCGAGTGGACTGCATCGCTGGACGATGTGTCTGTGAGGTCGGTTATTCTTTTGACCACAAGGCCAACATTTGCAGATCTTTAGCTGGTAAGTTTTAACGTTCGCTCGTCACACGGAAGACCCTGCTTCGATTCCCCACCTGGGTACAATGTGGGAGGCCCAGTTCTGCTCCTGATGTCAATCACGGGATTGTCTGGTCCAGACTCGATTATTTACAGACCGCCGTCACAGCTGTAATATTGCTGAGTGCGGCGCTAATAAACAACGACCTTGTAACGATGCTCATAATGTCAATCATTGGATTGTCTGATTGATTCAATTTCTGGATTAGCTGCGATATTGATGAGTTCGTAATATATGAGTTCCAACAACTAACAAAACATACGGCACTTTACTTCTTGAAGTTAATTGATAACTAAGATTGTTTTCATTTCCTCTGCAGAATGCACGTCGTTTAAGGACTCCTTCACAACATATGATGCAAAGCAAATACAACACCACTCAGTGACAAACATGACGTATGTGTCGTACCATAACTGCGTCAGAGTATGCAGGAATTATACACAAGCCATGTGCAAGTCTGTCTCTGTCGAAACTTTGAGCCAAATGTGCTTCCTTCACAACACCACGTGGCTGGAAGTGCAAGAAGCACATCGCAAGGCGGCAGTCCTTCGTTCCCTTTTCCAACGAGACTGTTGCTGGTAAACAAGGATATCCAACGTATGTCGAAGCAATGTTAGTGTGTATTACCGTCTGTAACTGTCGTCGGGCCGTGAATGCCCTGAACAATAGCCTTCACCTTATATCAACATAAGGGAGATTATCGCGATGCAGCCAGTGTATTGAAGAAATACCGATACACGGATGACTTACTATTTTCTTGTGAAGCTTCACGTCCAACTTTGATGACATAAGGGATCAAGCGCGTGTCTCTATCATCTCACACAATATATATCAGTTCATCAAGATCGGCGGTTTCACCCTGGATATCCAGCCAACTACGTCTTGTTTCGGAAGTTTGACTACTGCTGGGTGAGTGTTATTACCACTGCTATAGACATTTATACTGCCATTGTAATTGTACTGCCGTTATATGTTACTGCCTCGCTTTTGTGTTGTAGTTGTAATTACCATGCAGTAATTGGTATAGATCTGTCAACCTTGTTAATGTTACAATACAATTGCTACATGTATCCCATTTCTTTGTTGTTTGTTGGTTTCACCGTGAATTTTGTCTGGGTTAAATTAGTGTTTCAATGTGTTGACACACAACAAAGGTAACATAACTGACAGGTGTGTGTTTGCGTGTGTGTGTGCTTGTGTTTGTGCGTGTGTGTGTGCGTGTGCGTGTGCGTGTGCGTGTGCGTGCGTGTTTGTGCGTGTGTGTGTGCGTGCGTACGTATGTGTGTCTGTGTGTGTATGTGTGTGTGCGTGCGTGTGTGTTTGTGCGTGTGTGTGTCCGTGCGTGCGTATGTGTGTCTGTGTGTGTATGTGTGTGTGCGTGCGTGTGTGTGTGTGTGTGTGTGTCTGTGCGTGTGCGTGTTTGCGTGACGACACCATCAAAATACTGTGCTAGTTTAGAGATTGAAGCCATGACGACACCATCAAAATACTGTGCTAGGTAAGAGATTGAAGCCATGACGACACCATCAAAATACTGTGCTAGGTAAGAGATTGAAGCCATGACGACACCATCAAAATACTGTGCTAGGTTAGAGATTGAAGCCATGACGACACCATCAAAATACTGTGCTAGGTTAGAAATTGAAGCAATGACGACACCATCAAACTACTGTGCTAGGTAAGAGATTGAAGCGATGACGACACCATCAAAATACTGTGCTAGGTAAGAGATTGAAGTCATGACGACATCATCAAAATACTGTGCCAGGTTAGGGATTGAAGCCATGACGACACCATCAAAATACTGTGCTAGGTTAGAGATTGAAGCCATGACGACACCATCAAAATACTGTGCTAGGTTAGGGATTGAAGCCATGACGACACCATCAAACTACTGTGCTAGGTAAGAGATTGAAGCGATGACGACACCATCAAAATACTCTGCTAGGTAAGAGATTGAAGTCATGACGACATCATCAAAATACTGTGCCAGGTTAGGGATTGAAGCCATGACGACACCATCAAAATACTGTGCTAGGTTAGAGATAGAAGCCATGACGACATCACCAAAATACTGTGCCAGGTTAGAGATTGAAGCCATGACGACACCATCAAAATACTGTGCTAGGTTAGAGATAGAAGCCATGACGACATCACCAAAATACTGTGCCAGGTTAGAGATTGAAGCCATGACGACACCATCAAAATACTGTGCTAGGTTAGAGATAGAAGCCATGACGACATCACCAAAATACTGTGCCGACACTAAGTTTATGATTATCAATTAACTTCATGAAGTAAAGTAGCTCATGCCTTTTTTGTCTGTTGTTGGAACTCAGGCCGAGTTCATCTCTGTAGCAGCTGTTCCACAGATTGAAGCCATCAGACAATCGCATGGTTGACATTATGAGCATCGTTCCATTGTGTCCCCCCATCAACCAAGTAACCAGGCCTGCCTGCCTGTCTGCCCGATACATTATGTCGCCTTTTAAAAACGGCATACACCACTGGGAACAAATACTAAACCAGACTCCCTCATGCATGTAGTACGTCATAACAGTTTTAACACTGCCGTCCCAACTGCGCTGTGACACTGCTATCTTTTTCCATGTCAATATATATGAGGTATGCCATTAAAATTGATCTCCTGCACTCTATCGCCAGGGACGTCTCCCCGAGGCAATGAAGTTAACTGACAATAAAAGTCCAGTTCCCACTCTTGCCGAGCTTGGCAAGAATTCCGGAGTTACATTTTGGCTGGACTAACGAGTCTATGCACAATCAAATCAAAATCGCGTGAAGAACCAGACATCCGGTTTGCAAACCACATAGATTTCAACGTGGAGATTTCGGTCGACTGCAGGATCTGAAGGCATGTGTACCGCCAAGTGGGCGTCGACAGATATTTTGAAAATCTTTTCATGTTTTCCCTCAAGGTGCTTAAGTGATTTGATGGACTTCTCGGGGTAAGACCCGTTTTTTTACAATATATATCTTGATTATCGATCAGATCGTGTTGACTAGGCACCGCTATTTTGTTTGAAGCAAATGCATGTGATATCAGTATTAGAATCTTATTAGTCAATAGGAGGGACATAGAAGGGACATATCTCGTAATAGCCACTGATGGCGCTTCGATCGAGACCAGAAATTCCAGCCTAGTTCGGCAAGGGTGGAAACTGGACTTTTAGCGCCCTTGCTTCGGGAAGATGCTCAAGGACTTGCACTTCGAAAAATTTAGGCCCTTAATTTTCAGAAACGTTTTAACGACCAATGAAACGTTGAGATAATGAAAGAGAGAAATGGGTAGGGAAGGACTTGCCATAGCAATAAATACTTTTGACGGCCTTCGTCTGCATGTCAGTCTGATGTCAATGTTGAAATTCTCGCAAACTCTTCCGTAATCAATGGGACTGGCCACCAACTTGTTGATATCGCCAACCCAAAGTTGAGGCTGGTTTGTAACTCGCCATTTGATTGGTCTCTTAGACTGAGTAGCAAATCAAATTGGCTATTGGAACTCAAGGGCGGGTTATTCGAGATCACGAGAACCACGGGAATGGATCAAGAATGTTTTAGTGTAGGTTTACCGAAATGTGAGCCCTGGAGATATTGAGGATAACTTGATCGATAGTCTTGCATAGCTTCTCTAGTGCTCCAGCCATGTGGCGGGGGACACAGCTTTGTACCCGTGTCGGGGATCAGCCCAGCTGTCCGGCGCTGCGACGTAACACGTGTAGCAACCACGCCAACGCCCCTCCAACATGATTGAAACTTTACAAGTCCTCTTCTGCGACTCAGACGACTACTTGGGGGAGTGCCTCCTGACTGTCGGCTATTAGTATGCTAAACCAGTCACAGTGTCAGACGCCGTGAACGCTGAGGGTAACAAGCTCTATCCACGATAACCAGCCAGGGAAATGCAGTGGGAATTTCAGTGAAACTATCTACATTTGGACATGGTGGTAACAAGTCATGTAACAGCAGTCGAAACGTTGACCGTGAAAATATAGTTGTTACTCTTCCCTCCAGTAAATTCGTGAACGATGACGTTCAGTCACCTGAGACACCAAGCCTAACCACCCGATCCCATTAAACGGAGTCAAAATGAGGGTCAAAATGAGTCCTCCACAACATATGCTGGGTGTAAGAGGCGAACAGATGGATGGGGTGGTGAGGCGGGTGACCTGGTTGATTTCGTGTCATCGTATACCGACCATATGGGTCGTTGTGCACAATATTAATCACTGGATTGTTTGGTCGATTATTAACAAGCCCGGGCATATTCCTGGACAATTGTTGACAGCGTTAAACAACAAACGGACGAAGTGGAAACACGCATACAGATACATCAGCACGTGACTGGTCATGGGAATAGATGCATCAACAGTAGTGGCTACCTTCAGAGAATGGCTGGAAGACGTTGCCGTGATTTGGACACCAGGTTTTGTTTGTTTGTTTGTTGTTGAACGCCGCACTCAGCAATATTCCAGCTATATGACAGCGGTCTGTAAATAATCGAGTCTGGACCAGACAATCCAGTGATTAATATCATGAGCATTGATCCACGCAATTGGGATCGATGACATGCATCAACCAAGTCAGCGAGCCTGACCACTCGATCCCGTTAGTCGCTTTGTACGACAAGCAGAGTCACCTTTTGTGGCAAGCATGGGTTGCTGAAGACCTATTCTACCCCGGAAGGACACCAGGTGTCAGTGAATACGACTAATCGGCAGCTCTGTTTATTGAAACTGGGTTAATAAAATACCAAAAGCTGTGTTTTTGTGTGTGGGTATTTCGATGTTGGTTCATTTTTCTATAATTACGATCATCGTTTATTAATGTATATCGTGGGGCGGTCAGGTAGCCTGGTGGTTAAAACGTTCGCTCGTCACGCCGTAGACCCAGGTTCGATTCCTGACATGGGTACAATATGCGAAGCCCATTTCTGGTGTCCCCCGCCGTGATATTGCTGGAATATTGCTAAAAGCGGCGTAAAACCATACTCACTCACTCACTAATTAATGTATATGATTATGTCAAGCGTGATGTCACGCACATGCAGAGGTTTCAACTGTACAGTACGTATCACTGTGATCGTATAGTTTAAATAACGTGTAGAAAGAGGAACTCTACTCAAGTCAGATGAATTATCAGTCACATGGCCAGAAGTCACAACACAGTGAACATCAGTAAAAATATAGTTTAATAAAAAGAAGCATCTGTTTAAATATACAAATAACAATATTGTGCTGATTTGAAAGCTACTCATTCGGACATTTAGAACACCATATATTGATCAGATTCTTACCTCACTCACTCACTCAATTATCAGTTACCGTAACGATATGGCTGAACTATTGCCGACTTTAAATGATAACTCACTCACTCATTAATAGTCACACACAGCCGTGTTGTAATAGATCAGCTAATTAAAGGAGCACATACAGATATTATGTTTCTACATAGCCTCTGCATGACGCCTTTACTTATGCACAATAACTCAAACAGAACATCATATCGACAGCAATATTCTATTCAACCATTGCCGCTGTGTGGGCTCTCAATTAACTCCCTCTCGCATAAACTGTGGTCGGGTAGTCTAGTGGTTAAAGCGTTCGCTCGTCACACCGAAGACCCGGGTTCGATTCCCGACATGGATAATGTGTGAAGCCCATTTCTGGTGTTCCCGCCGTGATATTGCTGGAATATTGCTAAACGCGGCGTAAAACCATACTCACTCACTCACTCTCATTAACTATATGGCTATAATCTGCGCATGTCAATATACACGTAGATACTGAAATTATTGCTTAACTATTCCGAAGAGTCTTTTAGCAGGTAACACTAATGGCAATTTTCTTGTGTAACGGCTGTGGTCTTCCACATGGTTTAAAGGTTAAATACAGATTTGTATTTTGACATGTTAAAAAGGAAGTCACATCGAGTGTGTGTTTGAGAGCGGATTGAATGACGTGATCGTGAAGCATGATTTCATTGTGTGAAATATGCCGAGATGAAATGACGGTCTCCTCCTGGATCTGAAATGCAGAAAACTGGGTCAGTCAGGAAGAGAAAGAGGGGAATTACTATATGCCCATTGTTTGAAAGGCGGCATCTGCTTGGAACAGATTCACTGGTCTATGATTATGCACTTATATAGCAACGTGAATGTACGTGTGTGTGTGTGTGTGTGTGTGTGTGTGTGTGTGTGTGTGTGCGTGCGTACTGCTTGTAGTAGTCAAGATTGTATTATGTTAGTCAAATGAGATACCATGCCACAGTCTAGCGTTGAGTCAGTATGCCACCAATTCTTGTTTTATTGCCCTAGTGCCGAGCGCGAGGCAGGGTAACACCATGTACCAATATCACTATTTAACGTGTGTTGCTTTAGCGTTGCGAGGGGATCGAAACACCAACTTTCCTTTCATGGCCAGACACTCTATCCACTAGGCCACAGGAGCGGTGCACGTTAAACTTTCGTCATTGACCATGACGTGTCTCGACTTCCTGATTAGAGGAGACACGTCAATGTGCAGAGTTACGTCCCTTAGGCACGCCAGAAACCTATGATTGTGGGTTCGAATCCCAGTTCGCCGCGATTATGTTTCCAGTTTTGTCAGTACCACACACATGCTCGTGGGTTTCACCAAAGTGGTAAACGTCTGTGACCTGCATCACACATTACGCTGATATGCCGTGATATAACTGAAACACTGTTCCAAGATGCGCCGAACCCGACTCACTTACTCCTTATAAGAGCGATCATGTAGCCTGGTGGTTAAAGCGTTAGTTCGTCACGACGAAGATCTGGGTTCGATTCCCCACATGGGTATAATATGTGAAGCCCATTTCTGGTGTCCCCCGCCATGATATTTCTGGAACATTGCTAAAAGCGGCGTAAAACCATACTCACTCACTCACTCACTCCAGATTAGAGCCAGGCCATAGTTCTGAGTCTGCGTGTAACTTACTGTACAGAGAAGGCAACTGCCTTTAAAGAGGCATCTCTTCCAGCCATCTCTTAACACCAGGGTAGTTTTTGTTCATCCACTTGATGTTCGCCTTGGTTTGTTCTACTGCCTGGTGGAAAGCGCGCTCCCCAGTTCCAAGATTAGGAGTTGATCTCATGAAGTCCTCAATCTGGCCAATCAGTGAAGAAGATAAGAATGTGTCATGACAGCCATGTGGCATTAGACATCAACATATAGTCCTGTACTGTGAGAGTTGTATTCGACAAGTGATAAGAAAGTCATGTTTTATACCTCTGACAGCTGATCCGAGGGAATTCCAGGTTAGAATTGGTCCCCAGTAGTCTATGCTGGTGGTAAGAGACGACACGTGGTGATGTTCTGTGACGTTTTCATCTCTTGAAAGTCTGATCCTTACTTAATCTCAATAGTGCTTAGTGCGCCGTTAAACAACAAACAAACAAACAAGCAAACAAACAAACAAACAAACAAACCTCTTGCAGCTGCTGCTGGGTATTAAAGCCTCGGGTTGAACCTGTGATCATCTTAGCAACATAGTTGAAAGTAGCGCTAAACCTAGAACAAAAGTATATCTTCTCATATACATCTATACATCTTGAAACCGGGGCGGTCGGGTAGCCTAGTGGTTAAAGCGTTCGCTCGTCACGCTGAAGACCCGGGTTCGATTCCCGACATGGGTACAACGTGTGAAGCCCATTTCAGGTGTCCCCCGCCGTGATATTGCTGGAATATTGCTAAAAGCGGCGTAAAACCATACGCACTCACACACTCACTCACATCTTGAAACAATCACATTAAACCTTTGTTTAGTCTTTGAAAGGCATTTAGAAGTGATACAAATGAGGAAGAGAATTTATGGATGTTAACTTCTTTATTATGAGGAACACAACGTTTCGGGGTATATGTTTACTCCTTTATCCACCTGATGAAGGAGTAAGCATATACTCCGAAACGTTCTGTTCCGCGTAATAAAGAAGTTGACATCCATCAATTCTCTCCCCTAGCCTTAGTTTAGTGGCAATGGCCAATTTTCCAAATTTTGCCTGTCCACACATTCGAAAACTCTTTGGTGCGTGGGATGTGACTCCGAGTATGACAAGGCGTGGTCAATAGTCAGAACATCGACTTTGATTGTACTTTGAATTGAACTTGAGATAACTATCCGCTCGATGGTGAGACCATCGACACAACGGAAATAGTGTGAGATTAGGACCAGGGTTGAACGAATGTTGTACCATCATGGACCAGTGACTGACGCCATGGACAACGATCCATGCAACCGCGTCACAGACAGCCATGGTAACAGTTTCCCTTCCCATCACAGGGTATAAGGTACCGTAATTCGCTGTGCAGAGTGCGTCCATTATGCCTGGAAGAAACATGTTATTGCGGGTTCGAATCTTGGTTCGCCCCGATTACATTTCTAGTTTTGACAACACCATGCCCGAGTTTCACCATAGTGATACACGTCTAAGCCCTGTATCAGTCTGACACGCCATGATATAATTGAAATACTGTTCAATGCAGGGTTGACCTAAAGCATGTGTGTATTGTAGCTTTTCTTACTCATCACGGAGAAGTGGCCAGTTAGCCTTGATGAAGTTCCACACTATTGGTTGTCCCCGAGCGCTGTTGGATACGTAGAACATGATACGTGTCGTGTCAGACCGGCTGACCTCTGACGGCGTGATGGCACGTTCCAGAAGACTGAAGACAGAGGCACGGATATCAGACTATACGTCATGGAGATATACGTCATGGAGATATACGTCACGAAGACATAAGTCACCGAGTTATACGTCATGAAGAAATAGGTCATGGGGATATACGTCATAAAATTATATGTCATCGAGTTATACGTCATGGAGATATACATCATCGAGTTTTACGTCATGGAGTTACATGTCATAGAGGTATACGTCTTGGAGATATACCGTAACGTCAAAGAGACATAGGTCATTGGGATATACGTCTTAGAGATATACGTCACGGAGATATAAATCATTGAGTTTTAGGTCATGGTGATATACGTCATAAAATTATACGTAATCGAGTTATACATCATGGTGATATGCGTCACAGATATATAAGTCACTGAGTTATACGCCATTGAGATATACGTCAAGGAGATATAGGTCATGGGAATACACGGTACGCCTTGGGGATATATGTCATGGAGTAACACGGACTAACACGTCATGGAGATATACGTCTTAGAGATACACCTTAACATCATAGAGCCATTCCCCACTGAGATATACGCCTTAGAGATAAACATCACGGAGATATACCTCGTGCAGATGAACGTCATGGCGATATAAGTCACTAACTTTTACGTCATGGAGATATAGGTCATGGGGATATACGGTGCGTATTGGGGATATATGTAACACGGACTAAAACGTCAGGGAAATATACGTCTTAAGGATAGACCTTAACATCATAGAGACATCATGGAGATATACGTCGTGCAGATGGACGTCATGGCGATATAAGTCATTGAGTTATACGTCATCGAGATATAGGTCATTGGAAATACGTCATAAAATTATACAATATCGAGTTATACGTCATTGAGATATACGTCACAGAGATATATGTCACTGAGTAATACGTAATGGAGATATAGGTCATGGGGATATACGTCATGGAGTTATACGACACGAATATATACATCATGGTGATACACGTCATGAAGACATAAGCAAGCCATCGGGTTAACGTCATGCCAATATACATCATGGAGCTACACATCAATAAGATTAAAGTCAAGGGGATATGCGCAATGAAGATATACAACAAGAACACATACTTCACTGAGATAAATGTCTTGGGTATATGCGTCATCGAAATATTCCTATTGGAAATATTCATCATGGATCTATTACGTTATTGGGTTATACGTCACGATGATCATTTAACTTACGTGTGTATGATCCACTCTGTGCGGGTACATGTCAGCGCATACTGTAGATCACCTTTAATGGCAATCTCGGGTTCTGCTTGATATCTGCGGTACACTTCGAACCAGTCCTCTGCCCCCCCCTCCGCCACACCCGTACAGAGAATTGTCTTCCGCATCTCGGGGTACAGCCTGAAACATCAACTATATCATGGAGTGTGTTCCTCATCTCACGTCTGTATGTCATCGTACAGAGAATTGTCTTCCGCAGCTCGGGGTACAGCCTGAAACATCAACTACATCATGGAGTGTGTTCCTCATCTCACGTCTGTATGTCCCCATAAAGAGGATTGTCTTCCGCAGCTCGGGGTACAGCCTGAAACATCAACTATATCATGGAGTGTGTTCCTCATCTCGCATCTGTATGTTTCCGTATAAAGGATTGTCTTCCGCAGCTCGGGGTACAGCCTGAAACATCAACTATATCATGGAGTGTGTTCCTCATCTCACGTCTGTATGTCCCCGTACAGAGAATTGTCTTCCGCATCTCGGGGTACAGCCTGAAACATCAACTATATCATGGAGTGTGTTCCTCATCTCGCATCTGTATGTTTCCGTATAAAGGATTGTCTTCCGCAGCTCGGGGTACAGCCTGAAACATCAACTATATCATGGAGTGTGTTCCTCATCTCGCATCTGTATGTTTCCGTATAAAGGATTGTCTTCCGCAGCTCGGGGTACAGCCTGAAACATCAACTATATCATGGAGTGTGTTCCTCATCTCGCATCTGTATGTTTCCGTATAAAGGATTGTCTTCCGCAGCTCGGGGTACAGCCTGAAACATCAACTATATCATGGAGTGTGTTCCTCATCTCACGTCTGTATGTCCCCGTACAGAGGATTGTCTTCCGCAGCTCGGGGTACAGCCTGAAACATCAACTATATCATGGAGTGTGTTCCTCATCTCACGTCTGTATGTCCCCATAAAGAGGATTGTCTTCCGCAGCTCGGGGTACAGCCTGAAACATCAACTATATCATGGAGTGTGTTCCTCATCTCACGTCTGTATGTCCCCATACAGAGGATTGTCTTCCGCAGCTCGGGGTACAGCCTGAAACATCAACTATATCATGGAGTGTGTTCCTCATCTCACGTCTGTATGTCCCCGTACATAGGATTGTCTTCCGCAGCACGGGGTACAGCCTGAAACATCAACTATATCATGGAAAAATATGAAACTGAACGATTTCTTCTATTCTAGCAGCAATGTTGTCCTACACTGACCAGTCTTTAATACAAGAACTTGCAGAGAGCTTTTTCCATTTACTGCCGTCTGACTTACGGGTATAGAGGTGAGTTTTCTTTCCACTTCTTGAACAGACTTGTCACTTGTGTGATACATTTCCGACTGGAGGCGTCGCACGCTGCCCCCACAATCTCCCGCCGAGCAAACCTGCAGAGAAGCAACAGAGACTTTGCTTTAACATCAGGACCACTGTTACTCCTGTCACACTGAGACACATGTGCTTAATTAGAGGAGTATCCTGGTGAGATTTACTGACTACCAAAAAACATTTGAAACGCTATTGTAAGCTTTAGATTGGTCTAAGTTTGACAAAAAGCTTTGTAAAAGGACAAAATAGCAGTAAAAGTCGGAATACGACAAGCAACCGAAACACGGACTAGCGTTTTACACGAGATTGTTAGAAAAGACACCAGTGTGGGCTTGAACAAGTACAAGAACTGAATGTCACCTTCTCAAATAAGGACTTGTCTTCACTCAGCAGAAGAGCTGAGAGATACTTCTAAAGGACAAGGATTCTCTTCAGACAGCACAAGAGCTGAGAGTTACCTTCTTAAAGACAAGGCTTGTCTTCAATCAACACAAGAGCTGAGTGTTACCTTCTGAAGGACAAGGATTCTCTTCAATCAGTGAGTGAGTGAGTGAGTTTGGTTTTACGCCGCTTTTAGCAATATTCCAGCAATATCACGGCGGGGGACACCAGAAATGGGCTTCACACATTATACCCATGTCGGGATTCGAACCCGGGTCTTCGGCGTGACGAGCGAACGCTTTAACCACTAGGCTACCCGACCGCCCCCTTCAATCAGTAAAAGTGCTGAGAGTTACCTTCTAAAGGACAAGACTTGTTTTCAATCAGCACAAGAGCTGAGAGTTACCTTCTGAAGGACAAGGGTTCTCTTCAATCAGCACAAGAGCTGAGAGTTACCTGCTGAAGGACAAGTGTTCTCTTCAATCAACACAAGAGCTGAGAGTTAACTTCTGAAGGACAAGGGTTCTCTTCAATCAGCACAAGAGCTGAGTGTTACCTTCTGAAGGACAAAGGTTCTCTTCAATCAGCACAAGAGCTGAGAGTTACCTTCTGAAGGACAAAGGTTCTCTTCAATCAGCACAAGAGCTGAGAGTTACCTCCTGAAGGCCAAGGGTTCTCTTCAATCAGCACAAGAGCTGAGTGTTTCCTTCTGAAGGACAAGGGTTCTCTTCAATCAGCACAAGAGCTGAGAGTTACCTTCTGAAGGCCAAGGGTTCTCTTCAATCAGCACAAGAGCTGAGAGTTCCTTCTGAAGGACAAAGTTTCTCTTCAATCAGCACAAGAGCTGAGAGTTACCTTCTGAAGGCCAAGGGTTCTCTTCAATCAGCACAAGAGCTGAGTGTTACCTTCTGAAGGACAAGGGTCTCCTAATCAGCACAAGAGCTGAGTGTTACCTTCTGAAGGCCAAGGGTTCTCTTCAATCAGCACAAGAGCTGAGAGTAACCTTCTGAAGGACAAGGGTTCTCTTCAATCAACACAAGAGCTGAGTGTTTCCTTCTGAAGGACAAAGGTTCTCTTCAATCAGCACAAGAGCTGAGTGTTACCTTCTGAAGGACAAGGGTCTCCTAATCAGCACAAGAGCTGAGTGTTACCTTCTGAAGGACAAAAGTTCTCTTCAATCAGCACAAGAGCTGAGAGTTACCTTCTGAAGGACAAGGGTTCTCTTCAATTAGCACAAGAGCTGAGAGTAACCTTCTAAAGAAAAAGGCTTCTCTTCAATCAGCACAAGAGCTGAGTGTTACCTTCTGAAGGACAAGGGTTCTCTTCAATCAACACAAGAGCTGAGAGTAACCTTCTGAAGGACAAGGCTTGATCAGATCAATCTGAACGAGAGGTAAGATTCTCCTTATATGAGTGTGGTGTCCCAGCCATTCAATTAGCTTAACAATTTCGTTGTTTGTCTGTGGACGCAAATTTAAGGCAGTGCAACAGTAATCCTGCTGATGATGTGCCTGAACACACACGTGAGACGCTTGATACGGAGTACAAACTCTCGAGAGGAAATTGAAACTTGATCGTGGAGCTCATTACTACTCAACAGTATCCAGCTACATCACGTCAGTCAGAAATTAATAGAGGGACGGAAGGACAAGAGGCCGATATTATGAGCAAAACTCAAAGCATTCGGGGTACGATGTTACGCCATCCACCAAGTCACTGAGCCTGACCACCCAATCCAAGTTCGGAAATTCTTACCAATAGCAGTAGAGTGCTAGGGAAATTGTCTATGAATGTACACAGAGTGAGATGTAATGGTTTGTATTTGATTATACTTACGATTCAAGTTGGGAAGCGCCTGTGTCATTCAGACCTACTTTACTAAACGGTGTAGCTGTTATGTTTCGCATAAATGTCTGCAAAACAGAGAAATTTATTTGAATGCAGTTCGCCCTTTTATCGCGATCAAGATATGCACATAAACTTATCACATGTTCACATTTTCACATGTACGTTGTCCAAGAAGACAAATCATAAAAAAAGGCAAAGTTGTTAGAAAAGTTGGAGGTTTGAAAAGTATGAGAGATTATGTCTTTCATCGTCTTTCTCAATTTGAACTTCACCCCAATAAGACATTTCGAACGAAATTTATCTGCAAACTGGGCATATTTACTAATGGCAACTTAATTAAACCCAGACATATATGATATTTGATTTAAACTGTCTCAAAATGCTTCTGCGACCCATCTTCTCCCCACAGTCAGTCATATACATCAGGTATCAGCTAGCTATATCTGCGAACTTTAGTAGTCCTCACCGAAACACTTGCTTCAGCAAGTGTTCACATAGGCTAGTTTCCCTCAAGCAGCAGTCCAGGGGAGGTAATCACCCTACCTGTGTAGCTCATTCGTCTGCAGGACAGCGTCCATATAGGCGAGTTTCCCTCTAGCGGCAGTCCAGGGGAGGTAATCACTCTACCTGTGTGCTCAGTAGTCACTCACCTTAAACCGTCCATACATCTCCGTGTTCTGCAGCATAGCGTCCACATGGGCTAGCTTCCCCCTTGCGGCAGTCCAGGGGAGGTAATCATCTTACCTGTGAAGCTCATTCGTCACTCACCTTAAACCGTCCATACATTTCCGTGTTCTGCAGGAAAGTGTCCACATAGGCTAGTTTCCCCCTAGCGGCAGTCCAGGGGAGGTAATCACTCTACCTGTGTGCTCATTAGTCACTCACCTTAAACCGTCCATACATCTCCGTGTTCTGCAGCATAGTGTCCACATAGGCGAGTTTCCCTCTAGCGGCAGTCCAGGGGAGGTAATCACTCTACCTGTGTGCTCATTAGACACTCACCTTAAACCGTCCATACATCTCCGTGTTCTGCAGCATAGTGTCCACATAGGCGAGTTTCCCTCTAGCGGCAGTCCAGGGGAGGTAATCACCTTACCTGTGTGCTCATTAGTCACTCACCTTAAACCGTCCATACATCTCCGTGTTCTGCAGCATAGTGTCCACATAGGCGAGTTTCCCTCTAGCGGCAGTCCAGGGGAGGTAATCACCTTACCTGTGTGCTCATTAGTCACTCACCTTAAACCGTCCATACATCTCCGTGTTTTGCAGCATAGTGTCCACATAGGCGAGTTTCCCTCTAGCGGCAGTCAAGGGGAGGTAATCACCTTACCTGTGTGGCTCATTAGTCACTCACCTTAAACCGTCCATACATCTCCGTGTTCTTCAGCATAGCGTCCACATGGGCTAGCTTCCCCCATGCGGCAGTCAAGGGGAGGTAATCACCCTACCTGTGTAGCTCATTAGTCACTCACCTTAAACCGTCCATACATCTCCGTGTTCTGCAGCATAGTGTCCACATAGGCGAGTTTCCCTCTAGCGGCAGTCCAGGGGTAGTAATCACTCTCTCTGCTCAGATACTCCACTGTCTGAAGGGCGATATCCTGCTTCAGAAGGCCAGATCTGAAACAAATAGGTGCTACACTGATTGTAATTCTAATTAGCGACAGTGCTGTGATTGCCGTCCCCGAGGTTCCTTAAAAACTAGTACTATGATCATTACTATGAAGTGATTATCATTTTACGAGCAGACACAAGCTTATTATTGTCAATGGACAATGTTTGTCATATTATTTTCACTCGTAATAGAAATGTAACTATTGGACTGCTCCGTTGCCATCTTATAAAACCCTAAACAAGTAGGCTGGACAGACACTAAGCATATCATGACGTCATAATGGTTGATTACGTCACATGCTTTGTCCCAAAATAATTGATCCTGGTCTTACTTGGGTTGGTAAAAGTTGCTGAAAGTCCGACTGCAGTCAGACGATGGGTGTCATTGTCACCTAAAATATGCATTTGTAACTTGTGACCTCGTCTTGGTTACACCAGGACATGTGTCAGCAGCGGGTGTACGGCATTCCGCCTTGGGGTGTACAAGCTTATTCAGCTCGCTACATCTCGTACACCCTGCCAGTGACACGGGCGTCATGATTGCTTCATTCAATAGCTCGTAGCCGTGAAGATCGGGGGTAACATAGGTCTTCAGCAACCAAGAAATGGAAAGAAATGGGCTTCACATATTGTACCCTTGTGGTGCATCGAACCCCAGTCTTCGGCGTGACAGGGGCGGTCGGGTAGCCTAGTGGTTAAAGCGTTCGCTCGTCACGCCGAAGACCCGGGTTCGATTCCCGACATGGGTACAATGTGTGGAGCCCATTTCTGGTGTCCCCTGCTGTGATATTGCTGGAATATTGCTAAAAGCGGCGTAAAACCATACTCACTCACTCACTTCGGCGGGACAAGCTAACGCTTTAACCACAAGGCTACCCCACCGCCCCGTGAAGCGATGAAGAACAATTCAGACGAAATGCCGATGACCCTAGAAGACCTCAGATGAATAGCTTTGATTTCCGGCATACGTACCTTGCCAAGTCCCAGGCATCGTTGATGATCTGTGCCCTATTGGTCCTGTCTATCACCTGGAGGATGATGGTAGTTGATAGACATTATAATAATATAACAGAAGTATGATACTTAGACCAGGTCTAAAACAATGCATTGATACATTTATCAGGACTGCGAGAATCGGTATGCTGAACCCGATACTAGTTGGCAATGCACTTGTACCCAATCATATGAACGAAAACATTTTTGGGAATGTACATACATACATAAAGAAAACAAAAAAAGGTTTTGGTGAGCAATGCAAATGTACATACGTTTATTTGTTTTCTTTCCTTTCTGTCATATAATCCATTAATTGTAAACAATAAACAAACATGTAATCTATGGGAGAGAGGGGTCCAAGTTGTGATAACTTGTGCCCAATCCTTTTCATGAGAATAAAATATGTTTAAACTAAACAAGTAGTTTATACCGCTTACAGCCATATTTAATAAACATCCGGTATATCCATCACACAAACTGCCATTAGGAGAAACCAACCCTGGTCGTTAGAGTAACACACTTTAACCTCTAGGCGACCTTGTCGCATCTTATCAGAGTGAGTGAGTGAGTGAGTTGGGTTTAACGCCGCTTTTAACAGTATTCCAGTTATGTCGCGGCGTGTCAGCTTAATGTGGGAGGAAAGCCCGAAGTGATGCAGGTCTCAGACATTTACCACTTCGGTGAAACCCACGAGAACGGGTATGGTGCTGACAAACCTAGAAACATAATCGGGGCGAACTAGGATTCGAACCCACAATCATAGGTTTCTGGCGTGTCCAAGGGACGCAACTCTGCACAGCGAATCGCGGCGCATGTCATCAGAAGGAGGAACGGCGTACTCTATTCAGTCCGTTTGGCTCCAAATGAGAACTATGAATTGAGAAATAACTCAAAATCGAGAATAGTCTATTAAATGCAAATACGGTACACGGCAATGTCTACTCTGTACCAAACAATATTTGGTGTTTCTTGTTTTTATTCCCATCAATAGAAATAGTTGTTTCAGAAATTATCATGTGTGTACAACTTGGCATCTTGAACATGGGGACACAGCGGTAGGTGGAACAGCTGAGTGGGGGTTAAACAAAAAACAAACAAAAAACAAAGAAACCAAGCTGTGAGAGGGAGTGGTAGGGTTAGGTATGGTGAAGCTCCGCGCATGTTCAATATCAAACTATACAGTTCGTGCATGTGACCAGGAAACATCTGTACTGACCGGGTCCAGCCTTTCTTACCGTGTGGTCAGTCTTCAGCTGATGGATGAGAGCCCTCCAGTTGCTATCCTCGTACTGGACACGGTACAGACCGTACAGACCGATGTTACCGATGATCCAACTGGTCTGGTCAGAGGCCGGAATGGACAGTGATGTAGTGTACTTGTCTGAAGAAGTGAAGGTACAATTTGTGTTGACGCTGTTTATAAAAAGAGAATAACCAACAAGCTACGAGGGATTATAGATTGTCTGTCCCGTGTTAATCCCAAGCCTTTAAAAGGAACTTACAGCATTTATTTACTAGGGACACATACTCCGTAGTTCCGTGTTTCGAGTAGATTATTCTATATAGAACACTTAGTGACATTTAAGACAGGAAATCAGAAAAAACGTATTATATTTCAACCCTACTGAGAACCTATCTGATGGCAAAATGTTGTTCAGATGACGTAAAGATATCAGATTTTGACGTCATCAGAAGGTTATTACACACGATGATGTGACCCTAAAAGGTAATATTGACGTCATTTGGTATGACAAGACCGACCTCAGACGCTCTCTCCACTTGACCATGGAGGCGATCCCGGAAGTGAAGTGAAGAGTCGGAAGTAGACTCCGATACTTAAACGATCGTTCGAGATAATGCGACTTACCTCGGTCACTAAAATGTATCAAACCACGGAAAACTCGGTATATGGTCAAGTTTGTTTGTTGTTAAACGCCGCACGCAGCAATATTCAAGCTATATGACGGCAGTCTGTAAACAATCGAGTCTGGACCAGACAATCCAGTGATTGAAATCATAATCATCGATCCACGCAATACGGTCAAGTTAGCTTCGACTTTCAGTGTATAAGAAATGTTAAGTGCCGAAATTATATAATGTGCCGGCACGGATGATACCATGGCCATGAAGTCATTTTGGGGAGTTTGAGTTAACGGAGTCCGAGTTCTTGAAGGCTTGCCTAAGTGAATGTGTAACTTCCAGGTGCACGTTTTAGATACCTGATTTATCCTCTCTTTTTATCCAGATAATGTCTGCATCAGTCTTGCTGAAACTTCTCTCTAAACTCGTTGTGAAGGTGAAAGGAATGTCCCATTTATAACTGAAAAATATTTCAAATTAAAAATATATACACTTTTCAAAAAATAGAAACGCACAGGTAGTATGTAGTTCATTGAACCCGACTACACAAAACATCCGGTATGTAAATAGGATATATGTTATTGGAAAATGTTGGTGGCCTGATATTCGACAAACGGTGCGTCAAAACACAGCCATCGTCGATTTGCAATGTCTTAAACGGCAGGGCAAAATGTACGTGCAAGTTATTGCATTCGTAAATCGTGGCAGTGACTATAAAAAGGCAAGCATAAGCCAATAACTTGCCATCACATTTTTCGAGTTCGAAAATCCCGAGACTCAGCGCTGCCGATCGGAACATCGCCATAAGACGTTTCCAAAGAAAAGACAGTTCAATTCTACTGAAGACCGTCCGAGAACCGGCCGACCGAGAGTTACCACCCCTGCACAGGATCGCTACGTTCGACTGCTGCACCTACAGCATCGCAATGACACAGCTACGGAGACTGCAGGACGCATCCCTGGTTTGAGACGGATATCGGACCAGACTGTCAGTAACCATCTTCGCGAGGCTGGAATTCGACTAAGAAGACCAGCTATCGTCCCTGTTTTGCAACAGATCCATCGACAGCGACGCGTGCGTTGGTGCCATAACTTACAGCCTTCGAATTTGAAAAACTGGAGACGAGTGTGGTTTAGTGATGAATCACGATTTCCTCTTCACCGGCGAGATGGAAGTAACCTGTTTATCGTCGTCGAAACGAGCGTTTTGCCCCACATTGTGTACGTGAATTTGACAATTTCGGTGGCGGTAGTGTCATGGTGTGGGTGGCCATATCCTACACCACGAGATCTGACTTGGTTGTGGTTCGGGGATATTTGACAGCAAATCGCTACATGAATCAAATTCTTCAACCTCGCCTTCCTCCAATCATTGACCGCCAGAGTGGGCTGTTTCAACAGGACAACGCTCCACCACACACAGCTCGTGTCAGGATAGACTACCTTCATAATGCCAACATCGATGTCTTGCCCTGGCCGTCGAGATCTCCAGATCTGAACCCAATCGAACACCTCTGGCATGAACTCGATCGACGTGTACGTCAACGTCAGAACACGCCGCAGACACTCCCACAACTGGCCAACGCGTTACAAGCAGAATGGCGCAGAATTCCGCAGGACAGAATTCGTAAACTTATCCAGTCAGTGCCGAGGAGATTCTGAGCCGTGATTGCTGCCCGGGCGGTGGGACGAGATACTGTGTTCAGCGCAAAGTTGTGGCCTTATGTGACATGACAATGAACAGTTTTCAATGCCTTTGTACAACGACAACATGTGACTATCAAACTCTAAAATTTCATATTTGTATCTATGATATTAAATAAAATCGGCTTTATTTGGTACAATAAATGTACTGAAAATCTACATGTGCGTGTCTTTTTTTGAAGAGTGTACATGATTCCTTCCTTCATTCTCGGGTCACGGGTGGCCAAGTCGTCAAAGGCGACGCGACTCGCTGTGCAGAGTTGCGTCTCTTGGGCACGCCAGAAACCTATGATTGTGGGTTCGAATCCCGGTTCGTCCCAATTATGTTTCTATGTTTGTCAGCACCATACCCGTCCTCGTGGGTTTCACCAAAGTGGTAAACGTCTGAGACCTGCATCACTTCGGACTTTCCTCCCACATTAAGCTGACACGCTGTGAAAAACTTGAATACTGTTAAAATCGGCGTTTAACCCAACTCACGCACTCACTCCTTCATTCTCACTATATTTTTTTATCTAAACGTCGGATTATACGAGGGAATTGGCAATTGTAAGTTGTTACAATCATTTGGTTACATACAGCTTGGTTGAAAACGACAGGGGCGTCTGTAGGCCTTGTAGATAGCCACGCAGAAAACACGGGTTGAATTCTCCATTTGGAAACACATTTTCGAACTTTTTACTGTTTCCCGTTGTGATATATCTGGAATTATAGCTCTATATAATAGCTCTACCTGGTGTTAAAGTCGCACACTCACTGCTGAGCACACAGAGGCATGATCCCTATTCGTCCTCTTATGTGATCGCGATGCATAACTTCATCTGGTTTAGTTTTGAGTTGGGGAGGGGTTCGGTTTGGTGGACGATCGGTAAAACTCAAAAAAGTAATTTGGTGTTTATCATCCACTGTCCAATAGTGATGATACCAGGATTTCGCGAAACAACTCATGTGTTGTCCGGCTTCGCCTTCCAGAGTAAAAATATGTTTTGAGGCAAAGGCGAATATAACATATTTAACATAAATCCACTCCACCAACATTTTTGTCAATAACCCACTTAAAAATATGACTTGAGAGGACGTGTCCAAAACACCCACTCACTCACTTTGTTTGTTTGTTTGTTTGCTGCTCAACGCCACAGTCAGCAATATTCTAGCTATATGACGGCGGTCTGTATATCATAGAGTCTGGACCAGACAATCCAGTTACTGACATCATGAGCATCGATCCACGCAATTGGGATACGACGACATGCATCAACCAAGTCAGCGAGTCTGACCACCCGATCCCGTTAGTCGCTCTTACGACAAGCATGGTCGCCTTTTATGGCAAGCATGGGTTGCTGAAGACGTATTCTACCCCGGATCACTCATGTGACTCACTGATCATATTAAATCATGAACGTACTGGAAGACGACCGTGTCCAGACGAGTAAAACAACATCTGACTCACTCACTCACTCACTCGATGAGACACATATTTAATGATGAACGTACTGGAAGGGGGACGGGTAGGTACCAGGATCCGCTGCTGATGGGTCCAGCAGGAACCGATTTTGCTTCAGCTGCAGCTGGCTGCTCCCCGCCCTGGACACGCTGACCACGGGGTAGTTCATCTGCAGCGTCCACGTCTTCATCGTGTCCACCACGTCTACAGTCTTTTTCTCTGACTTTGCTTGCTATATCAAGAAAGTCGGACTGATTAAGATTATTTAAAAACTCAGGGTTGGGCGGTGCTCTTAATATCAATATCTGGTTAGTCTGGTTCCCCGATAACGTACAGGCCGCCATAATATATAGATACTTCGAAGGAGCCACAATTCTATGTTCACAGTTGCCTCCCTCTGGCTTACCAAAACAGTAAATTTGAGAAAGAATTTGTGGATGTCAACTTTTTAATCATGAGGTGATGAATGAGTAAGCCTATACTCCGAAACGTTGTGTCCCTTATAATAAAGAAGTTGACATCCATAAATTCTGTAATGTGTATCATTTCTAAATGCCATTCAGAGCTTTCCATCAAAGTAACGAGGACAGACTGATATTACCGTAGTGTCACTCACTCACTCACTCACTCACTCACTCACTCACTCACTTACTCACCCAACCACCCACCCACTCAATCACCCACCCACCCACCCACCCACCCACCCACTCACTCACTCACTCACTCACTCACTCACTCACTCACTCAATAATCACTGGTACTCACGTAGTCTAGCGCTGCCCACAGGTCGTTGTGGTCCGCATTGGAGTACTTCCGGTTCTCCAAGTATCTCTGTTAACAACAATATGTCCACCTCAAACACAAACCCAATGCCATGATGCTATAAGTATCTCTGTTAACAACAATATGTCCACCTCAAACACAAACCGCATGCCATGATGCTATAAGTATCTCTGTTAACAACAATATGTCCACCTCAAACAAGCACCGCATGCCATGATGCTATAAGTATCTCTGTTAACAACAATATGTCCACCTCAAACAAGCACCGCATGCCATGATGCTATAAGTATCTTTGTTAACAACAATATGTCCACCTCAAACACGCACCGCATGCCATGATGCTATAAGTATCTTTGTTAACAACAATATGTCCACCTCAAACACGCACCGCATGCCATGATGCTATAAGTATCTCTGTTAACAACAATATGTCCACCTCAAACACAAACCCCATGCCATGATGCTATAAGTATCTCTGTTAACAACAATATGTCCACCTCAAACAAGCACCGCATGCCATGATGCTATAATTATCTCTATTAACAACAATATGTCCACCTCAAACACGCACCGCATGCCATGATGCTATAAGTATCTTTGTTAACAACAATATGTCTACCTCAAACACGCACCGCATGCCATGATGCTATAAGTATCTCTGTTAACAACAATATGTCCACCTCAAACACGCACCGCATGCCATGATGCTATAAGTATCTTTGTTAACAACAATATGTCCACCTCAAACACGCACCGCATGCCATGATGCTATAAGTATCTCTGTTAACAACAATATGTCCACCTCAAACACAAACCCCATGCCATGATGCTATAAGTATCTCTATTAACAACAATATGTCCACCTCAAACAAACCCAATGCCATGATGCTATAAGTATCTCTATTAACAACAATATGTCCACCTCAAACAAACCCAATGCCATGATGCTATAAGTATCTCTATTAACAACAATATGTCCACCTCAAACAAACCCAATGCCATGATGCTATAAGTATCTCTATTAACAACAATATGTCCACCTCAAACACAAACCCCATGCCATGATGCTATAAGTATCTCTATTAACAACAATATGTCCACCTCAAACAAACCCAATGCCATGATGCTATAAGTATCTCTATTAACAACAATATGTCCACCTCAAACAAACCCAATGCCATGATGCTATAAGTATCTCTATTAACAACAATATGTCCACCTCAAACAAACCCAATGCCATGATGCTATAAGTATCTCTATTAACAACAATATGTCCACCTCAAACACAAACCCCATGCCATGATGCTATAAGTATCTCTATTAACAACAATATGTCCACCTCAAACAAACCCAATGCCATGATGCTATAAGTATCTCTATTAACAACAATATGTCCACCTCAAACAAACCCAATGCCATGATGCTATAAGTATCTCTATTAACAACAATATCTCCACCTCAAACACGCACCGCATGCCATGATGCTATAAGTATCTCTGTTAACAACAGTAAGAAGAAATTTTCAGTAAAAAGCTCTGATTCATTTTATCATGCCCAATTCATTTCGGAATGTTTCAAACTCTCTGTCATGAGAGATGGTTAATATTTTGGTCATCTGACATGCAGCGAGTCGTCGTTCATCCATAGTCATATTTTCCGTAAGTGGTTGGTTGCAGTTGGAGGTCTTCCTGATCTTGTATAATCTTTAAGGGTCTCTATCCACATCGTCGACGCCGCTTCCAACCTCCTAACAGTGACAAAGAAGGGTGCACCATCGCCTACAGTTGACACCGTGTCCGCATGGATCGCGGATGGATGGAATTGGCACTTCAGTTGGAGACACCTGATGATAGCGTAGAAGTCTATTTTGTCCAACTTATAATGTCCAACTAAAAATACCTTGACTCTTGGATGCCTGCAGAAATATGCTGTTTGTTGTGTATTCTGTTTATATGCAGCGGGTGAGCATGGCAAGTATTGTATTCACACTTCACACATGCGAGCTGTCAGTGATGTACTCCACACCATTCGTAGGAGGCTAAGAACTTTCCAGTAGACTTTCGAATATTTCTGATTTATGTGGCTTTTTCAAATCATGAATTATTGCTATTGAACGAGGCATATTTTGTTATTGACACGTATACATTCATACTTCAGTACTGTTACTAGATATATGTTACTTACGGATAAACCTTTCTGAAACGTGCTTTCGCCAATGAAAAACCTCAGCATTCTTAACACCGTCCCTCCCTGAAATTAAATCCAACACGTCAACGCTCAATTATCTCCCGAAATAGTCATCTTTAAATACACAAATTATATTATGTTAATATAACTATGACGTCATGATGTATCCGGATAAATAGTTCTGGGGGAGAAGGAATGACAACGTTGGCAGCACTGTTCCAGAACATTTAACACACGACACTGTTGTATTCCACTGGAACCTGGCTTCAATAAAATACAAAGGATTTCACAAAGGAGAAGAAGAGAATAAGCAAACACAAACAATTAAGTTTATAATAACCAACCACAATATGTATATAAAAGTAACTACTCTCCATGGCAACTGTCAAGCAGATAGGAGTTAATCGTAAAAGATATGAAATCGCCGAAATTAGAAAGTTGTGACATTTGATATACATGGTATGTAATGCTGATGCATAAAGACCAAGAACCAATAAGTTGTCGACCGGTCTCAAGGGGGCCAATGGTTGACGTACACCCTGTGAGTCTGTGACAACACACACACACGCGCGCGCACACACACACGCGCACGCACACACACGCACGCACGCGCGCGCGCACACACACACATACATTAACGCGACGTTAAAACCCATTTTACCTTAATCCTAAATAATATATGGCAATAAATGTATATATATTTATAATGTAATTCATTTTCTCACGTTCAACGCGGTTATATACTAGACTTATGTTCACAACAAACATCTACAAAGGAAGAAATACTCCAACCTTGTTATAGGATATGTCGTCAAATATTTCGTTGATTTCGTCGACGGTTTTGACATCAACATAGACCGGATGTGACGTCACTAAGCCATCCTCGGTGAAAAGTGGGAACATCTCTTCCACCACGAACTGCTCAAACTGAAAACAAGCATCAGGATGTTACTGTGTGCCATGGCCTCATCATCGGGGCACGTCCCCTTGGGCTACACAAGTTGTTTTGTGCACCGTATCAAATACTAGTATACTTTAAGGTTACCAAGAAGGTTAATTACATTATAATGTTATGCTTCTGTGCAAAGAATTCTCAAAGACTCGTGCAATCAAATATACTGAAAGGTTACTAAGAGATTAATTACATTATAACGTTATGCTTCTGTGCAAAGAATTCACAAATACTCGTGCAATCAAATATACTGAAGGTTACTAAGAAGGTTAATTACATTATAATGTTATGCTTCTGTGCAAAGAATTCACAAATACTCGTGCAATCAAATATACTGAAAGGTTATTCAAGAAGGTTAATTACATTATAATGTTTTGCTTCTGTGCAAAGAATTCACAAATACTCGTGCAATCAAATATACTGAAAGGTTACTAAGAAGGTTAATTACATTATAATGTTATGCTTCTGTGCAAAGAATTCACAAATACTCGTGCAATCAAATATACTGAAAGGTTACTAAGAAGGTTAATTACATTATAACGTTATGCTTCTGTGCAAAGAATTCACAAATACTCGTGCAATCAAATATACTGAAAGGTTATTCAAGAAGGTTAATTACATTATAATGTTATGCTTCTGTGCAAAGAATTCACAATACTCGTGCAATCAAATATACTGAAAGGTTACTAAGAAGGTTAATTACATTATAACGTTATGCTTCTGTGCAAAGAATTCACAAATACTCGTGCAATCAAATATACTGAAAGGTTACTAAGAAGGTTAATTACGTTATAATATTATGCTTCTGTGCAAAGAATTCAGAAAATACTCGTGCAATCAAATATACTGAAAGGTTACCAAAACGGTTCATAACATTGACATGTAAAGCTTGTTTGTAAAATATGTCATTAAATGTGAAATGTACACGAAATACGGCTTTTCCATTGGACGAGAGATCAGTCACATGACCGCGAAATTGACGTTCATAGGTGTAGGAAAGACACAAGCTCCGACGTTCATACAGTTTGGCCCTAACTCTATGAGTGAGTGAGTGAGTGAGTGAGTGAGTGAGTGAGTATGGTTTTAAGCCGCTTTTAGCAATATTCCAGCAATATCACGGCGGGGGACACCAGAAATGGGCTTCACACATTGTACCCATGTCAGGAATCGAACCCGGGTCTTCGGCGTGACGAACGAACGCTTTAACCACCAGGCTACCCGACCGCCCCCTCACTCTATGAAGGTTCATACTCCAATGAACTCACACAAAGTAAAAGTCAAGTCTTTAGTATTCTCAGTCAGTTCCAGTGCCTATTCTACTTAATCGTCCACCCCGGAATCCGTGGTTACATTTTGAAGGAATAACGATATTGAATATGTTCCCGGTATATATTTTAAAGGAACATCTTTTGTAATATAATATGGAATCGTCAGTGGTTTGGGGGAAAAACCTCAACCTCCGCACATCTTGACAAATTCAACTCTACCGAGCCACTGTAAAGCTATTGCTACTCAACAACCTATCACTTACCATGTTAAATTGTGGCTCTACAAGATCGGACCCCATATATTCGACGAACGTGGCGAAACCCTCATTCAACCATAGGTCGTCCCACCATTTCGGCGTCACCAGGTTCCCGAACCACTGAAAGTGAATGGGATTAGTTTTACGCCACCATCAGCAGATTCCAGCAATGTCATGGCGGACCCCAGAAGAGTGTGCGTCAGCAATTGTACCCATGTGGAGATTCGAGCCTGAAATTCACCGTGTCTCACCACATCGCTGACAGTAACAGTGACAATAGGCACACCGAGTGAGTGAGTAGTGGGTTGCAGCGTGCCAGCTCGAGCAGGTAGAGCCCCAAGTGATGTAGGTCATGGACGTTTACCTCTGTCGTGAAACCCATCACGTGGGCATGGTGCAACGGCCATAATCAGTGTGAATTGGGGATTTGAACCCTTTCGAATAAAGGTATCTTAATAAGCCAACTATTATAAACCATTGAAGGAATTACGAGGAATTGCTATAACTATTATAAATCATTGAAGGAATTACAATGAATTGGTATAACTATAATAAATCATTGACTGAATTATGAGGAATTGATTACCAGTGATTTATCCCCTGATTAGACACCTGAAGATATCTTATAAGTCTTTGTTAATAAGGCATATATTGATATAAGTTGTGGACACGGTAATCAAGTGACAAAGCAGACAGAAAATGCCCGTAATGCAATTACAACATCCAAGGCGGAAGCAGGAATAATGGACGCCAGCTCGATCACTGAAACATCGCACTCTTGTGGCGTATTTTTTTGTTTTTGGGATATCATTTTTGATCTTCAGTTTCAAAATTTATTTTGGTAAAGTATTTGTCTATAAGTATGCTCTGAAGTATTAATAAGGCATACAAGTTACTGTGTTGAGTTTAGTTGCCCTTTAAGGTGGGCATTTTAGTGAAGCAACTGTGGCGCATTGACCAAGGGTCATCTTGTCGTGGGTCGAATCCCCCTGTGAAGATCCTAACGTGCTCTCAGGTTGACCAGTGTCTTAGACGGCCGATGTCTTTACCACACTGGGCTCGCATTTAGTTTATATTTGACGATATCAACATTTCTTGTCAGGATAAAATCAACAGTATTTACCTTAGGTAATCGACATTAGACGATCGACATTCCTTCACGAAATCGACAGTAAGTAATGTGGTGAAATCAGTTGTGTTTTACGTGACAAAATCTTCTTTACCTGATGTGCCAGTTCATGAGCAATGGCCACCAAGACCTGTTGTTTAGCATAGTTGTTGGTGACGCCGTCCTTGTACAACAGCAGACTCTCCCTATAGGTGATCATGCCCCAGTTCTCCATGGCTCCCATAGCAAAGTCGGGGATAGCGATCATATCTGAAAATATTATCAAATTATACCGTCCATCGTTTGTGAGTTTAGTGTGGGAATACTGTAGGTCCGTCAATGCACTTGAGATTTAATCAGAGCAATGTTAAACAGTCAGACACCTTACCTTAGGTAAGGGTAATGTGTGATTCTTTGTTTAGGTAAGGGGAATGTGTGATACCTTGTTTGGGTAAGGGGAGTGTGTGATACCTTCTTCGGGTGAGGAGAGTGTGTGATACCTTGTTGAGGTCAGGGAAATGTGTGATTCTTTGTTTAGGTAAGGGGAATGTGTGATTTCTCGTTCAGGTAAGGGAAATGTGTGATTCCTTGTTTAGCTAAGGGGAATGTGTGATTCTTTGTTTAGGTAAGGGAAATGTGTGATTTCTCGTTCAGGTTAGGGAAATGTGTGATTCCTTGTTTAAGTAAGGGGAATGTGTGATTCCTTGTTAAGGTCAGGGAAATGTGTGATACTTTGTTTAAGTAAGGGGAATGTGTGATTCTTTGTTTAGGTAAGGGGAATGTGTGATACGTTGTTTAGGTAAGGGGAATGTGTGATACCTTGTTTCGGTAAGGGAAGAATGTGATTCCTTGTTTATGTAAGGGGAATGTGTGATACCTTGTATAGGTAAGGGGAATGTGTGATACCTTGTTTAGATAAGGGGAATGTGTGATACCTTGTTTCGGTAAGGGAAGAATGTGATTCCTTGTTTAGGTAAGGGGAATGTGTGATACGTTGTTTAGGTAAGGGGAATGTGTGATACCTTGTATAGGTAGGGGGAATGTGTGATACCTTGTTTAGATAAGGGGAATGTGTGATACCTTGTTTAGATAAGGGGAATGTGTGATACCTTGTTTCGGTAAGGGGAACGTGTGGTTGAAGTATGTCTCGTAGTGTGAGATGACCTTCGTCCCCACTTGCAGGGCGTAGTCCAGCTGAGATAGGGCGTTCTTCCTCGCCCATACACGATACTGAAACAAATAGGAAGTATGTATCCGGGTATTATCCCTGTGTACTTAATTAAAAAATATATCGATACATTATTTGAGATATTTCATTTCTGGCGTAAGATATTTGACTTTCGACTTGAGACATTCGATGTTTGACGTGATATGTTTGATTTCCCCAGTGACATATTTAATTTCTGACGTGATTTGACGTCCTAATAAATAGTTTGAGTGCATGATATGGTGATCCTTCTCACATCAAACAAAACAATGCATTGCGCTATGTCACCGATCCCACTGTGGTAGAGTGTGTGTGTGTGTGTGTGTGTGCGTGCGTGCGTGCGCGCGCGTGTGTGTGCGTGTGTGTGTGTTTCTGTGGGCAGCATGGAGGGGTTATACAATGCATGTGTGTGTGTGTGTGTGCGTGCGTGCGTGTTTGTGTGTGCATGCGTGCATGTGTGTGTATGGGCAGCATGTAGGGGTTATACGATGCATGTGTGTGTGTATGTGTGTGTGTGTGCGTGTGTGTGCATGCGTGTGTTTGTGTGTGTGTGTGTGCGTGCGTGCGCGTGTGTCTGGGCAGCATGTAGAGGTTATACGATGCATGTGTGTGTATATATGTGTGTTTGTGTGTGTGTGCGTGTGTGTATGGGCAGCATGTAGGGGTTATACGATGCATGTGTGTGTGTATGTGTGTTTGTGTGCGTGCGTGTGTGTATGTGTGTGCATGCGTGCATGTGTGTGTATGGGCAGCATGTAGGGGTTATACGATGCATGTGTGTGTGTTTGTGCGTGTGTGCGTGTGTGTGTGTGTGCATGCGTGCATGTGTGTGTATGGGCAGCATGTAGGGGTTATACGATGCATGTGTGTGTGTGTTTGTGCGGGTGTGCGTGTGTGCGCGCGCGTTTGTGTGTGCGTGCGTGTGTATGGGCAGCATGTAGGGGTTATACGATGCATGTGGGTGTGATAAACAATATATATTTCATTATAGAAAATACATAAAGCAGGATATATTGAATAAATAATACATTACTATTACAGTATTCGCCGATTACACAACATGAATTCATAGTTGTTATGCAATTTATACCTGTAAACCACGAGATGTTGTTCCGTTAATAAATCCAAAATCCGAAACAACAAACGCCACGAGATATGTCGACATGAGGGGCGTGGTCTGGTAGATGTCGGCTTGGTAACCGCCTTGCCTTCAAGAAAACACACATAATCAAACCTAATCAAACACATAATTTTTTGCAGGAAGCATTCAAGACATGCGTGTTTTAGGAGTAAGTGATTCCGACAGTCATAACGGTTTAACGCAATGTTTTAACAGTATTACGGCGGTCGACTCCGAAAATGGCCATGGGCATATGATAATTTATGAGGAATCGAACCCAGACTATTTGGCTACACTACCGACAATATCTGGAGGTTCACGACACAAACAAGGTGGAGATGTGACAGCTGCTCTGGGAGAAACAACAACTGAGTTGGTGACTAGATCACTCAATGTCACTCAGGAATCATGTTTGCGTGTTTGTTTGTTTGTTTGTTTGTTGTTTAACGCCGCACTCAACAATATTCTAGCTATATGGCTACGGTCTGTAAGGAGTCCGGACCAGACAGTCCAGTCATTGACATTGTGAGAATCGATCAACGCATTTGGGATGGGATGATATGCATCAACCAAGTCAGCGAGCCTGCCCACCTGATCCCGTTAGTCGCCTCTTTCGGCAAGCATGTGTTGCTGAAGACCTATTCTACACTGGATTGTTAGGTGTATTATTGGTTCATGGGGAATAATGACTTCTATAATACGGACCAGTGAAGATTCCCATGCTACTGACACGAGATGATAAAATAAATTCGGGGTGTCAAACTCATCAGTGTTTGCGTGTCACCGTTCTCTTGTGTACATGACACAGACCAACATATGACATACATCCTTATGTTGCCCAATGGATAATGTGCAGCATCAGACTTTCATATCAGCAAAGTAGGGGATAGTGGGGATCAATCTGATCTATATGGTATTGGCAAACTGAAATGATATGATCATATCTGCTTGGGAGTAGGTGATCAGATATAATGCGTTCAAATGGTTGGTGTGATGAGATGATAGCTCACTAGGTCGTTAAAGATGTCTGTTGTCAAATTTGAAATTTGTATTTTGCAGGCAACTTATATCTTATAAACCACTTCTGGTGGCCAGATATGTACGGACTCGTCCAGACATGCTTTCGATGAGTCGACCAATGTCAGCTTACAATTAACTCATGTTGTTCTTCTCAACAGTGATAGCAACACCGACTTCATTGATTTAAGTAGGTTGATTTTGACGTTGACGTACAAATCTGCCAATTATGTCCCAGACGTGTTCAGTAAGGGAAAAGTCAAAGTCATGGCTGGTCATGGCATGTCATAGATGTTTGCTGTTGGAGGAATTAGGTCACAATCCTGGCACGATGAACACATTCATTATTATCTTGATAAGATGAGATGGAACCTTGTGCAAATGGCACCACGAGTAGTGCAATGGTGTTGTCCCAAATTACTGACCTGTGACTCTGCATGGACAAGATAGAGCGCAGTTCCTTCTGTCATTGTGATACCACCCCATACACTTATTGACCCGCCCCAACAGCGATCATGCCATACGTCGTTAACGTCTTGAAAACGTTCATCAGGACGTCTCCAAACTCGATCGCCTCTGTCATAGAAGTCGGGGATTAACCTCGATTCGTCTGTAAACATAACGTTAGCCCAACGTCGATGTTCCAAGTGCTACACCAAATTCCCTACACCACTGGGAAAGACGTCAAAAGACGTACAGTAAGTAGTGCGATGAAACGTGGACCTCGTGTACGCAAAAAACCACCTATGCAGACGATTTCGCACCGCCTGGGCATGTACTCTTACACAAGTTGCCTGTTGCAACCAATCTCTTATCTGAGTGGCAGTTTGTAACCGATGTCTTAATGCCATTGCTCTGACTAATCTAGGCTGGAGTTGTTGCCCTTAGGTGACAAGGGCGGCGTCGATCGTCGACGTTATGTGTTTATCTGCTGATGACACATGTAGAAACATGAAGCGTGTGGGTTAAAATTATTTAACCAGTGCCCACCCGCAACATGCCAATGGCACGTAAACGTTCAGCACCGTGCCAACCTCGCATAATCAATGTTGTTGCTTCCTTAACGATTAGACCCGTGAAGATCCGGGGTAGAATAGGTCTTCAGCAACCCATGCTTGCTGTAAAAGGCGACTGTGCTTGTCGTAAGAGGCGACTAACGGGATCGGGTGGTCAGGCTCGCTGACTTGGTTGATGCATGTCATCGTATCCCAATTGCGTGGATCGATGCTCATAATGTCAATCACTGGATTGTGTGGTCCAGACTCGATTATTTATAAACCGCCGTCATTTAGCTGGAATATTGCTGAGTGCGGCGTTAAACAACGAACCAACCAATCAACATTAATGATAAAAGGTGATTAATAAAGTGCCTTTGAGCATTTGGTTCCAAGAAAACAATATGCGTCTGTTCACGACGGAGTCTGAGTGACAATGGTAAATCTGGCATATCACCCCTGTCACGTGCTGTCACGGCCGAAGTCACGTGCTTCATGATTGTCACAATGCTGTATTCGGGAGCTTGATATCTTCGGAAATGTTTTTGGCACAGACATCACTTACTGCCATTGCCTGGCATGGGTATATGTTCCTATAGTTTCACCTATAACACGTCTCCTAGCTTCTTTGCACAGCATATGTCATAATAAACAGGGTTTAATATCGGTATTCAAGGACATTGGCTTATTGTCATCCAAGTTAGTCCAAGAATATTTTTGATGCCCAATCGGAATTTTGTAAAATCATGAAAATGCTCATGATGCAGATGATGTCTGTTTGACATCTTGAGACACCCTGGTCACGTGGCCACCTTGTAGGTATGTGCTGTGAGTAAACCCATGTATATAAGTCAGTCCGAACTCTACCTGTCTTCCGTTCGATTAATCGGCATGTTTGACGTCGATGAGAAGCCCTTCTTCCTGACAAGTACAATGTTAAACGTCGCCTTCAGGGCCGGCTCGTCGAAACAAGGAAATGCCTTTCGTGCATCGGAGGACTCGAACTGGGTCGTCGCAAGATACCTGCAGTGAGCAAATATACACCGTTGCTATTACACGATTCAGCTAAATCGCGCTGGTTTAACTTCCCGACAGGATTTGGCACACAGAAGACACAGACGACCATATTCCGGCGAGTGAATGAATACAACTTGGTAGCGTAAGGGATCTGTATAAAGTACATTTTTTGTGCATATTGATTTGAAGATTCCAGGACATGAAATAAGAAATTGACGTTTCAGCGATTTGCTCCATGGAATTTTATGTCGAAGCCGTTGCATGAACATACGAATCATGTCATCTTTTATTTTGTTTCCTAAAATTACTATAACTTATAGTAGTATCAGATGGGATATATGGATTTAGCGTCTCGTTGTTGTTAATAAACACATATACCCTGAGTGAGAATGCCACATCGAATTGATCTGGCCGACATGTTTAAAACCGCCGTTGTTAAACAATTAAGATCAATTGAAAATTCATAGAAAACAGATGTTCGATTAATCGGAGGTTAACTTTTAATGACTCGTTAATATAACAATGCAAGAGAATAACCAGCCTAGATTTTCTGCCGAAACAGATTCCATTTGTCGTAAATGGCAAAATAGCTGTTGAAATTATATGAATGTACCACTGAAACTCAGTAACAACGTTCATCTTTTTGCTTCCTTGTGGTGTGCAAGATATTTATTGTCGCCGCTCAGAAATACTTCGTGGCGGGGTAAAAGGGAGTTTTTTCTTCAAAAATAAATTTGTATTATTTTATCAAGATCATGTGAACCAATCAGACCTCAACAGTGAGTGAGTGAGTTTGGTTTAACGCCGCTTTTAGCAATATTCCAACAATATCATGGGTGTGTGACACCAGAAATAGGCTTCACAAATTGTACCCATGTCGGGAATCGAATCCGGGTCTTCGGCGTGACGAGCGAACGTTTTAACGACTTCGCTCAACATTCTGAAACGGAGGTGATATAAATTGTTTTCCAAACTTAATATCAGGGTGTTCAGACTAACTCGACGTAGGTATAAATAAATAATTGTCCAAGGCTATATGACGTCACTTACACCGAGGTGTTTCCGTTTTTGTAAGAGCTGAGATAGAACCCGGCAAGATCATCTCGTAGTGGCCCAGTGAAGTTCATCTTCAGGTGATACAGTCCGTCTTTCTTGAGTTCCTCATTCACGTGGATCGTCAAGAACTGGTTACCTTTGTTTTGCTCGTGTGACACGTATCGGACTGCAGGTACACCCCCAACATCCGGTCCGAATTCGATTGAACCGGAAGTGATGTTGAGCTTGTTGATGTGAAGAGTAACATCGCTGGTTGGTTGAAGACATCTGATGTGTATCGTGACAGAACCCTCAAATGTGAAGCTGGCCGGGTCCCCCTCGTACATGTTCGGTTTCATTTCAAGGTCGTAGGATAGGGGCTTGACGTTTGTAGGGAGGAATATGTCTTCAGAGGTTGTACGCTGTTCCTTCTGATTGTGGTCCTCTGTTGAACATAAAGAGCAAGGTACATATTTGTCATTTGGGAAATACTCACATCCTTTAATGTAGAATTAACGTTGTAAATGTAACGTTGTTATTTTGAAATTGGAACCGGTTCCTTGATTCAAATCAACTGTGCCAATCAGAAAAGGTTTTGATTCGAATCTTCTGATTAAGTAAATCAATATCGAGAATATTCAAAAGTGATTGCAGAATGGGAAATATACACCGTTAACGTTATTCCACACTAGATTAGTCTGTTAAACATAAGGGTTACCTGGGGATTGCTCTGGACTGTACTTCACCAGCAGTACTGTACTGGCACTTTGACCAGGAGTAAAGACTACACAATCGCGTGTTTTTCTAATGCATTAACGTCCCCATGTCGCAAAGTTCAAATCAGCCCCTTACGATAAATCAGACGTATTAGACTACGTTAATCATTTGAGGAATTTGTTGAAGACATTTGTTAGTTTTATTTCTGTTTCATTGTTTCATATTCATCTATTCGGATCCATATTAGGATCATACTGAGACTCCCCATTTACCAGGACGTAGAATTTCCAGTGATTGTGCCCGGATTACAGAATCATGGGTAAGTAGTCATATCTCTTTAATAACGTGTGGACGTTACCAACAACAATCGTCCTGAAAAACAAAGGTGCCCATACTGACTAGGTTTGCAGTTATTACACCTTCAAGGAGTCCGAACTAACGAGGTGTACTGTAATCACTTCAAGGTGTCCGTACTAACGAGGTGTACTGTAATTAAACCTTCAAGTAGTAGCTAATGGAGAATGTACATACTGTAATAACCCAGGTCCGTCAGCCATTGTTTGATGATGGGATAGTTCTTCTTCATCCATTTTATGTTGGCCTTAGTCTGACTTATCGCCTGCGTGAAGGCCGTTACGCCAATGCCAAGGTCAGCAGTGGAATTGACGAAGGCCTCTAACTGTCAGAACGAGAAAAATATCACAATCAGATTAAGTTGGTACTGTCTCAAGCTGTTGTTGGAGCCAGTAAGTGGATGTGATACATCTTACCTCTTTGAGGTGGAACTCTGTGTTGAATGTGCCTGTTGCAGAGAGGATCATCTTAGCGAAGTAGTAGAAACTGGCGCTGTAGCTAAAGGGTCAAGAGTGAGTGAGTGAGTGAGTGAGTATATGTGTATGCTGCTTGAAGCAATATTCAGGCCATCATGGCGGTGGACATTATTACATGGGCGGAGGGTCAAGAATATCAGTACTGACATAAGTCACTTAATGATGCTATATATACAATAGCATCACCGTTTACTGTATGCCACTTCCGGCTATATATACAATAACATCATTGTATACTGTATGCCACTTCCGGCTATATATACAATAACATCGTTTTATACTATATGCCACTTCCGGCTAAATATACAATAACATCATTGTATACTGTATCCCACTTCCGGCTATATATACAATAACATCATTGTATACTGTATGCCACTGCCGGCTATATATACAATAACATCATTGTATACTGTATGCCACTTCCGGGTATATACACAACAACATCACTGTATACTGTATGTCACTCCCGGCTATATATACAATAACATCATTGTATACTGTATGCCACTTCCGGCTATATATACAATAACATCGTTTTATACTATATGCCACTTCCGGCTAAATATACAATAACATCATTGTATACTGTATCCCACTTCCGGCTATATATACATTAACATCATTGTATACTGTATGTCACTGCCGGCTATATATACAATAACATCATTGTATACTGTATGCCCCTTCCGGGTATATACACAACAACATCACTGTATACTGTATGTCACTTCCGGCTATATATACAATAACATCATTTTATACTATATGTCACTTCCGGCTATATATACAATAACATTATTGTATACTGTATGCCACTTCCGGCTATATATACAACAACATCACTGTGTACTGTTTGTCACTTCCGGCTATATATACAATAGTGAGTGAATATTGCTTAACGCCGCATCAGCAATTTTGCAGCTATTCGCGGCGACTATATATACAATAACATCACTGTATACTGTATGTCACTTCCGGCTATATATACAACAACATCACTGTATACTGTATGTCACTGCCTCCTGGAAATAATAGAATTTGGGCCAGATAAAGCAGTGACAGATAATATGAGCAAAGCCTTCTCTCCAAATTTATCACCTCTTACGACAAGTATTGTGGTCCCTTTTAACCCTGGGGGACATAATATACTATATATTGTATGTCATTCCGGCTATATATACAACAACATCACTGTGTACTGTTTGTCACTTCCGGCAATATATACAATAACATCACTGTATACTGTATGTCACTTCCGGCTATATATACATTAACATCATTGTATACTGTACGTCACTTCCGGCTATATATACAATACCATCATTGTATACCGATGTCACTTCCGGCTATATATACAACATCATCACTGTATACTGTATGTCACTTCCGGCTATATATACAACAACATTACTGTATACTGTATGTCACTTCCGGCTATATATACAACATCACTGTATACTGTATGTCACTTCCGGCTATATATACAATAACATCAGTGTATATTGTATGTCACTTCCGGCTATATATACAACAACATTGCTGTATACTGTATGTCACTTCCGGCTATATATAAAACAACATCACTATATACTGTATGCCATTCCGGCTATATATACAACAACATCACTGTGTACCGTATGTAACTTCCGGCTATATATACAATAACATCACGGTGTAGTATACATCACTTCCAGCTATATATACAACAACATCACGGTGTAGTATACGTCACTTCCGGCTATATATACAACAACATCACTGTATACTGTTTGTCACTTCCGGCTATATATACAACATCACTGTGTACTGTACGTCACTTCCGGCTATATATACAACAACGTCACTGTATACTGTATGTCACTTCCGGCTATATATACAATAACATCATTGTATACTGTACGTCACTTCCGGCTATATATACAACAACATCACTGTATACTGTATGCCACTTCCGGCTATATACACAACAACATCACTGTATATTGTGCGTCACTTCCGGCTATATATACAACAACATCACTGTATACTGTATCCCACTTCCGGCTATATATACAATAACATCATTGTATACTGTATCCCACTTCCGGCTATATATACATTAACATCATTGTATACTGTATGCCACTGCCGGCTATATATACAACAACATCACTGTATACTGTATCCCACTTCCGGCTATATATACATTAACATCATTGTATACTGTATGCCACTGCCGGCTATATATACAATAACATCACTGTATACTGTATCCCACTTCCGGCTATATATACAACAACATCACTGTATACTGTATGTCACTTCCGGCTATATATACAATAACATCATTGTATACTGTATCCCACTTCCGGCTATATATACAACAACATCACTGTATACTGTATCCCACTTCCGGCTATATATACATTAACATCATTGTATACTGTATGCCACTGCCGGCTATATATACAATAACATCATTGTATACTGTATGCCACTTCCGGGTATATACACAACAACATCACTGTATACTGTATGTCACTCCCGGCTATATATACAATAACATCACTGTATACTGTTTTCCACTTCCGGCTATATACACAACATCACTGTATACTGTTTGTCACTTCCGGCTATATATACAACATCACTGTGAACTGTATGTCACTTCCGGCTATATATACAATAACATTACTTTTAACTGTACGTCACTTCCGGGTATATATACAACAACATCACTGTATACTGTATGTCACTTCCGGCTATATATACAATAACATCACTGTATACTGTACGTCACTTCCGGCTATATATACAACAACATCACTGTATACTGTATGTCACTTCCGGCTATATATACAATAACATCACTGTATACTGTACGTCACTTCCGGCTATATATACAACAACATCACTGTATACTGTATGTCACTTCCGGCTATATACACAACAACATCACTGTATATTGTGCGTCACTTCCGGCTATATATACAACAACATCACTGTATACTGTATCCCACTTCCGGCTATATATACAATAACATCATTGTATACTGTATCCCACTTCCGGCTATATATACATTAACATCATTGTATACTGTATGCCACTGCCGGCTATATATACAACAACATCACTGTATACTGTACGTCACTTCCGGCTATATATACAACAACATCACTGTATACTGTATGTCACTTCCGGCTATATACACAACAACATCACTGTATATTGTGTGTCACTTCCGGCTATATATACAACATTACTGTAAACTGTATGTCACTTCCGGCTATATATACAACATCACTGTATACTGTATGTCACTTCCGGCTATATATACAATAACATCACTGTATACTGTACGTCACTTCCGGCTATATATACAATAACATCACTGTATACTGTATGTCACTTCCGGCTATATATACAACATCATCACTGTATACTGTATGTCACTTCCAACTATATATACAATAACATCACTGTATACTGTATGCCACTTCCGGCTATATATACATTAACATCATTGTATACTGTATGTCACTTCCAACTATATATACAATAACATCACTGTATATTGTATGCCACTTCCGGCTATATATACAACAACATCACTGTATACTGTATGTCACTTCCGGCTATATATACAACATCATCACTGTATACTGTATGTCACTTCCGGCTATATATACAACAACATCACTGTATACTGTATGTCACTTCCGGCTATATACACAACAACATCACTGTATATTGTGTGTCACTTCCGGCTATATATACAACATTACTGTAAACTGTATGTCACTTCCGGCTATATATACAACATCACTGTATACTGTATGTCACTTCCGGCTATATATACAATAACATCACTGTATACTGTATGTCACTTCCGGCTATATATACAATAACATCACTGTATACTGTATGTCACTTCCGGCTATATATACAACATCATCACTGTATACTGTATGTCACTTCCAACTATATATACAATAACATCACTGTATACTGTATGCCACTTCCGGCTATATATACAATAACATCACTGTATACTGTATGTCACTTCCGGCTATATATACAACAACATCACTGTATACTGTATGTCACTGCCTCCTGGAAATAATAGAATTTGGGCCAGATAAAGCAGTGACAGATAATATGAGCAAAGCCTTCTCTCCAAATCAAATTTATCACCTCTTACGACAAGTATTGTGGTCCCTTTTAACCCTGGGGGACATAATATGAAATCAACTGAATACAGGCTATTATCGTGTGCTTTTGACAGGAATATAAGTGATGTACAGTGTTTGATGCACAAGGCATTGGTACTCTATCAACACAGACACGGAGTCTTCCACATTATAATCCAGTGAGTGAATGAAGGCTGCGTTGTTCCAAACCTGGGTCACTCCTAAACCTGGCTTGAGGTTTTACATTTCAATTGTAATTCCTAGGTTTTGAAAAGAACACAATTCTATTTCATGAATGGTTAAAAGTCACCATTTGGTTACAACCTGAGTAGTATAGGTAATGATGGTTCTGCCGCAACTCCACTGGAGCTGGATTTATATACCTATACTGCTACTACAGATGGAATTTTTTATGCCAAAATGATGATGCGATTTAATGATAGTCATAAGATTAAGTTAAATTGGCTCTAGCTCACCAATACCTGGGGCCAATCATTGCTTTAGATGAGTCTAAATGGTAATAAAAATATTCTTTATTATTTTTATCGATAAAGCGATATTCAACATTTTTATTAAGTTCTTCGTTCATTTTACTAGGAGACCAGACTATATAACTACACTCTTTTTGTAAATTGATAAGAAACAATTGATAACCGTATTTGGTTGGTTTGGCATCACTGATATAATAAAAACCTTGTGGTAATTCTTTCCATTGAATAGCTTTCTCCATTATTATATATTTATGTTAGCATTTGTCTAAATGTAATCACACGATAGTAAACAATCTATTTTTAATCTCCAACCAGTTCTTTGGTTATGGACGGAATAATTGACGCGCTTCTTGCCTCC